GACTGCGGACACAGTACAGGAGATTACCAGAGACACAGTACAGATGACCAGAGACTGCAGACAGTGCAGGGAATAACCAGAGACTGCAGACAGTGCAGGGGATGACCAGAGACTGCAGACAGTGCAGGGGATGACCAGAGACTGCTGATCTTTGGGGAGGGAGGGGGAGCGGGTATCTGAATTTGACAGGTACCCGCTCCCACTTCCGTGGAGTTGTCTTTCCCTCTTCTTCCCGCGCCGGCTTCTGTGACAGCCGGGTGCCCACTGCGCATGCGCGAGAAGCGCTGTACTTTGTGAATGGCCCGGCGCCTTCTGGGACCTGTCATGTGTCCCAGAAAACACTGGACCATTCACAAAGCGCAGCGCATGCGCAGTGGTCACCCGGCTGTCACAGAAGCCAGCGCGGGAAGACTGTGCAGCGCTGGAGCGAGGAACAGGTAAGGCCCTGCAGGAGAGAAGAGCTGAGCGGCCGGTCCGGTATTCTGACATGGTGGCGGCAGAAATACCGGGCCGGCTGCTTTATATTCGCTCCATAAGACGCACTGACATTTTCCCCCCTTTTTTGGGGGGAAAAAAGTGCGTCTTATGGAGAGAAAAATACGGTAATTTTTTTCCTCAAATAGAGATTGCTTTCTTTGGTATTTGATCACCTCTGCATTTTTCTTATTTTTTGCGCTATAAACAAAAAAAGACCGACGCTTTTAAAAAGAAAAAAACAATAAAGCATATCCAATAAAAAAATTTAAAAAATCCGATTTCTTCATAAATTTAGTGTCTTTGCTACAAAAAAATCCCAATAAGTGTATATTCATTGGTTTACGTGACACAGTTATAGTGTCTACAAATGGTGGTATATATATATATATATATATATATATATATATATATATATATATATATGAATTTCGCAATCAGCGCCTTATAGTGGGGCTGAGGCGGGAATTCTGACACTGGGTGGGAACTGACTAACTGCCACTGACATTCCCAGTGACACTAATGAACAGTGATTAGTGCTAATAAAAAGCACTGACACTGTACTAATGACACTGGGCAGGAAGGGATTTACATCTGGGGCGATCAAAGGGTTAACAGCAGGGGCGGACTGACAACTCATGGGGCCCCCAGGCAATAGGGGATCATGGGGCCCCTGTGTCCTTGCCCAAACTCAGCCCATGAAAAAGGTACCAGGGGTATCTCATGGGGCCCCCTACTGACCCCGGGCCCTCGGGCAGTGCCCGAGTTTGTAAATGGTCAATCTGCCCCTGCTTAACAGTGTGCTGTGTGTGTTTTACATTGCGTGCTGTTTACTTACACCTAGGTCTCTCCCCTGTCAGGTTTGCCGATGATCACCAAGTCCCGGCCGGGATTGACATCCCCAACAGGCAATAGCGGCTTGGGTAGAGCGACCCTTGCACGTGCCCCCTATCAGGAAATGCAAATCACGTATATATATATACTTGATTTTGCGCAGCCGTGCCGCCCTGTAGCAGTACATTTGCCATAGGGTGGAGGGAAACGGTTAATGTTTGTATTTGCATACAAAGATTTTTTTGTATCACGCCATTTTATTTGGCTTCCAATTTCTGTAGCTTGCATCTAGCTCATGCTCATCATACTCAGGATAAATAGAGGAGAAGGAGGTTAGATACATAATACTTTAGGGCACATTTTCTTTAAAAATCTAAAACAGATTTATGTGCTTGATGGACATAGTTAACTATTAATACCCTTGGATATTTTTCATAGGCAATATATTTAGTGTCTTTTTTTTTTTTTTGTGAGGCAACTTTTACTTTCCTTTTTGTCCCACAACAGTTCTCCAGTATTAGTTTAATTCAGACAAATTAAGAAAAAATCACTACCTGATCTCAGTTAGGCAAAAGTTCTTCGAATGCTGCTTTAGAATTAAAGGAGCAATTGAAGAGGCTGAATTGAGCCTTCAGTTAATAATTTATACAATGAAAGGCAGAAATTTGAGAAACTTTAAAGTGCAATATACTGTATGTAAAAGCACTGCCTAAATTGATGGTGCTATATAAGTACCTGCAATAAATAAATAAATAATGTATTAATCATGCTTTATACTTTGGTATTTTAAGTGACCTGAGAGGAGAGATCATAATGAAAATCTTTCCTTCACCCTTCTGGCTTAATGGCAGGATGAATAACATAGGAATAGTCAGTTCTTTACCTTGTTAGAAATGTGGCCATTGTCTGACATCATAGTCATCCTTTGATATTACTTAGGTAATGACCAAGTTAGTATATTGCACTAAACAAAACAAAATGTAATTTCGCTGTTTGGTTGCAATTGCCTTCTTCCATTACATATTTATTTTTAGAAATATTATCAAGGTTGTTATGTTTTTTTAACCCTAAATTCTAAAATATGAAAAAGGTTGAACAGTGCAAAGCATAAAAGGAGTTCCAGTGATATCGAGCTTGAGGCAACAATTAAAATTCTCCAGTAATCTAATCTTTTAATATTTAAAAGATATCAGAATTTAAACTTTCCATGTTGGGTTGCAGTTACCAGTTCTAGTTTTATCTGAGATTACCCCACATCTTTGTGATACACATACAGTATGCGGGTATTGCTGGATTTACAGGCAGGCTGAGCAAAAATGGAGTACCCTTGGTTTATACAAACAGTATTTATTGCATTTGAAGTTGGTTTGGATATTTTGAATGCTGATTCACAGTTGATGATTGATTTAGGGGTGGGGCCAGGTCTTGGGTAGGCTGGTGTTCAGGGAATGTCACTCACTAAGTGAGTGGACAAGTAATAATGTAAATATGAACTCCAGAAACTATCTGTATTACACACTTGGGTTAGTCCAGCCTGGCATTATATACTGTAGGTATACATGTCACATACCTGATAGACCGCTGGGGAAGGTAAAAATCACTATAATAGCCAACACTACCGCAGTGATAGCTTCAGTTTCCAAAGTCCTGCTTGGACTTGTGAGAGCGACTTCCCTTCTGCATGCAGAACAGAGAGTTGTGCACTCAGCACTTCTGCCATTCATAGAATGCATTGTAATTTTTTCTATGAATACAAGGTGCTCTCTGAGTTACATATAGTTACATAGGTAATCTGGTTGAAAAAAGACACATGTCCATTCAGTTCAACCAACAGAAAAACAAAAAAAAAACACAACACACACAAATAGAAAACTTCCATATACAGTATCCAATACCCACAGTTGCTCCAGAGTAAGGCAAAAAAAAAACAATAGAGCATGATCCAATTTGTTCCAGTGGGGGAAACAAACCCTTCATGATCACTCAAGAGGCAATGGGATATTCCCTGGATAAACTTTGCCTCTAAATATTAGTATCCAGTTATATTATGTACATTTAGGAAAGATTCCAGGCCTTTCTTAACCACTCGTCCTGCGGAAGAATTGCTCCCCTTCCTGACCAGGCCATTTATTTGCTATTTTGCACTGCGCTAATTCAGTTGGTAATTACGCGGTCATGCAATGCTGTACCAAGCTAAAGTTACTTCCTTTTTTCACAAAAATAGAGCTTTTTTGGGTGGTATTTGATCACCACTGCATTTTTGTTTTGTGATATGAACGAAAAAATACTGAAAATTTTGAAAAAAAAAAGATATTTTCTACTTTCGGTTACAAAAAATATGCAATAAACTCAAAGTTAGTCATAAATTTATGCCAAAATGTATTCTGGCTACATGTCTTTGGTAAAAAAAAAATCTCAATGCATTTATATTAATTGGTTTGTGTGAAAGTTATAGCGTCCACAAACTATAGTATATATACTGGAATTTATGCAGCTTTTACTTTCTGACTGCCTATCACATTTCTTGAGGTGCTAAAATGCCATGGCAGTACAAAGACCACCCAAATTACCCCTTTTTTGGAAAGTAGACACCCCAAGGAATGGACGATTTTATTTTTTTCTACACAAAGGTGTGACTTAAATGATATATTGCTCATGTATGCCATGGCTATATGTGGAATGACACCCCAAAACACATTCTGCTACTTGTGCCAAGTATGGGTATACCACATGTGAGAGACTTTTTGGCATTATATCCACACACAGGCCCCCCAAATCCAATTACCAATTTCAGGCTTTCAAAAGGCATATTTCCTCATATCACTTCCTCACTACATATCAGTTTCGGTGGCCCTGAAATGCCAGGATAGTATAAACACCCCCCCCCCCAAATGACCCCGTTTTGGAAAGTAGATAAGGAATTTGATAAGAGGCATGGTGAGTATTTTGCAGATATTATTTTTGCCACAAGGTTTTGAAAATGAAACAAAGAAAAGAAAAAATACATTTTTGTTTTCTTTTTTCATTTTCCAAAAACTTGTGGCAACAAATGAGATCTACTCACCATGCCTCTTACAAACAAATACCTTGAATTGTCTACTTTCCAAAAAAGGATCATTTGGGGGGGTGCTTCTACTATCCTGGCATTTCAGGGCCAACATTAGATGCTTCTGCCACACATCACCCACTTTTCTAACCACTTGAAGAAAAATCCTTTTCTGACACTTTGTTTACTTGAAAAAAGATTTTTTTTTGCTAGGAAATTACTTTGAACCCCCAAACATTATATGTTTTTTAAAGCAATGGCCCTAGAGAATACAATGGTGGGTGTTGCAATTTTTTATGTCACACAGTATTTGCGCAGTGATTTTTCAAATGCTAATTCTTTGGAAACAATACACTTTTTTGAATCTTAAAGCACAAAAACACAATATATTGCCCAATTGTTTCATAAAATATAAAAGATGATGTTATTCTGAATAAATAGATACTAAACATGACATGCGACAAACTATGCAAATTTTTAATATCGATAGGAGGTGCTTTAAACCGCCTCCCGCCCACCATATAGTAATATGACGGACGCAAGGTGATTCTCTCGTTTTGGGAGGATGTCATATGATGACCTCCCATTCTAACCATGCATGCGCGGCTCCCAGAGCGTGCAGCGCGGCGATCGGCGGTGCGCTGTGTCCCTCGGACACAGCGGATCACCAATCCATGGAAAGAGCCAAAGATGTTGGCCCGGTCATGTGATCAGCTGTGTCCAATCACAGCTGATCACATGTAAACAGTGAAATGCCAGTTATCTGCATTTCTCTCCCCACAAGCTGTCACGCTGACAGCTCATGAGGAGAGGAGAGCCGATAATCGGCATTCCTCGGAGGGGACATGTACACAGATCATCAGAGCACTGATGATCAGTGTGCCCTGATGATCTGTGTAACCCCAGCAGTGCCACATGTCAGTGTCCATCAGTGCCAGCTCTCAGTGCTCATCCATGCCACCTGCCAGTGCCCATCAGTGCAACATCAGTGCCACATTTCAGTGCCCATCAGTGCCACATCAATGTCACATATCAGTGCCCATCTGAGCTGCCTTTTAGTGTCACCCATCAGTGCCACCTGCCAGTGCCCATCAGTGCCACCTGCCAGTGCCCATCAGTGCAACATCAGTGCCACATTTCAGTGCCCATCAGTGCCACATCAAAGTCACATATCAGTGCCCATCTGAGCTGCCTTTTAGTGTCACCCATCAGTGCCAGTCAATGCCATCTATCAATGCCAGTCAGTGCCACCTATCAGTGACAGTCAGTGCCCATCAGTGCTGCCTATCAGTGCCACCTAACAGTGCCTATCAGTGCCATCTATCAGTGCCATATAGGAGTTCTGCATTTCAGTGCCCATCAGTGATGCCTGTCAATGCTCATCAGTGCCACCTACCAGTGCCTCCTCATCAGTGCCCATCAGTGCCACCTATCAGTGTCCATCAGTGCAGCCTATTAGTGTACATCAGTGCAGCCTATCAGTGCCCATCACTGCAGCCTCAGAGTATGACAGCAGTGTGCATCGGACTAACTGTCCAGAAAGCAAGATGGCCACCGGGCTCCGGCAGCTTAACGACACGGCGTCTTGGCCCCTCCTGGCACGTTTCGTGTGCACGCACTTCTTCAGATTCAACCTCTGCCTCTAAAGAAGTGCATGTGCACGAAACACGTCAGGAGGGGCTAAGACGCCATGTCTTGTCATACTCTGCAATGTTCATTGTGCTGCGTACTGCTATTTTAATCTGCATTCATTTAAGTGGATTTCATTTGTTTTTTACCATGGTTACTTTCTTTAATAAATACTACATTCATTAATTACTACACTATGAGTACTTTCTATACTCCCCCTGGTGGAGTTATTTATTCATAGCACCTGCCTGATCCAGCAACATTAAGGATTCCAGAGAAGGGAGCTCCTGTACCCAGGCAACCTGCACCCACCTATCCCTTAAGGGGACCTCTGGCCAGCTGAACCCTTTCCTTACCATCCTGTGTGCTCCCACCACCACTACCCACCTAGAGGGAGGATCATCTCCATGTGTTCCTGACCAGACCAACCACCTAGAGGGAGGACATCTTCCCTTATCCCAGACCAGACCCTAAAGGAGGCTTCTGTTGATTTTGCTTAATGCACATTTACATTGTGCATCTGGTGAGTGCACAATCTCTCTACATTACTTGGAACATCATCACGGATTATAAGGAGAGCACTATATAGATTATTCATTAGTCTTTAGTGACAATACGGAACATTTATTCTTTTTTCAATATTTTATTATTCTTTACATATGGACTGTTTTACTGTACGTAAAAGCGTTCACTTTTATTGCTATCCTATTTACATAACGTGTGTGTGTGTGTGTGTAAAATGTAGTGGTTTTACTTACAGTGCGGTGTTCTCTCTTCTCTCCCTGGACCGACAGGGGGGGGGGACAGCAGGGGGCGTAGGCATGTTCTCACGAAATAGAAAACGTAAGGATAGAGAACGCAAGGATACGTCGCTTTCTGCCCAGAGCTACTGCTCGCCCACACAATGTGGGCAGACGGTCGGCAAAAAATAAAAAAAAAAAACTAAATTATTTTTATAATTCTCAATACAGTATTTTTTATTTTATTTTATTAAAGTAGTGCAATGTTACCATAATAACATTGTACTTCTTTGGGGGGGTGATCAGGATTTTTTTTTTTTTACAGTTTGCATTGCATGAGCAAAGAAGAGCATTGCTCTGCAATGCAGATCTTGTTTTGAACTGTCGCAAATTAGTTAGATTCATGACAATTCAATATAATAGTGATCTGTGATTTTCAGCTTCTGGCTAGAGCTGGTCACATGGTACAGGATGCTGTGATTGGCCTCATGTAACATGTGAGAGCTATGAACCAATCACAGCTCACCAGTTAGAGAAGCAGAGCTGTTATGAATCAGATTAATTCATAACAGCTTTGCTAACATTGTGATCATGTTCACCGGGAACATTGTGCTAACATTGTGATCATGTTCAGCTGTCGTGGGTGGAGCAGCGCCCCCCTGTGTTAGTACAGCCAAAGCGATGTACCCATACGCCGTTCATCCAAAGTACATTGTAGGCGGGTGATTGGCAAGCGATTAAGACAATCTACTGAGATGGCAAGAACCTGCTCTTGAGGGAGTCTATTCCACATTTTCACAGCTCTTACTGTGAAGAAGCCTTTCCAAATTTGGAGATTAAATTTATTTTCCTCCAGCATAAAAAGTGCCCCCCTTGTCCTCTGTGATGACCTTAACCACTTCAAGTCCAGACACTTTTACCCCCTTCCTGTCCAGGCCAATTTTCAGCTTTTAGCGCTATCACACTTTGAATTACAATTGCGCGGTCATGCAACACTACCCATACAAATCTTGGCCAAAATATATGCAGTTATCTTTTTAGTAAAAATAACCCAAATTCGTTTATAACCAAAAATGTTAATTTTTCAAATTTTTTTTTTTAATTTATTTTTTATATTATTTCTTATGTTTTTTTTTTAAATACTGTCACCCTAGCAGTACAGTGTCACCATAGTTATGAAGATTTTTTTTTTAACTCATAAAGGCTATAAAAGCAATTATTTCTCCTTCTCTCTGGCTGCATTCCTGCAGCCATTGAGAAATACTGTGTGAGCTGTGATTGGTCACAGCTTGTCACATGGTACAAGGCTGTTGTGAATAGCCTTGTACCATGTGACCTCTGTGATCATTCACAGATTTCACACGTAGTAAGCAATGATGTCAGAAGTGACATCTTTCTTACTACCGTACTCTTCATGTGATCACTGATTGGCCAATCAGTGATCACATAATTGGGACCTCACACAGAGGTCCCATACAATGATCGGTGTCCTCTGGACACAGTGGGCACCGGATCGCGGTGCTGTGCGCTCCCAGGCAGCACACACAAGCAGGGGGCGGGGAGGCCGCTTATAAACGGCCACTCGTCCCTGCACTGATCCCGTCCTGCCGTTTATATACATGGGTCGGATGGGAAGTGGTTAAAGTGAATAACTCTACACCAAGTTCACTATATGGACTGCTTATGTGTTTGTATACGTTAATCATATCCCCCCCCCCCCTTAATCTCTTTTTCTCAAGAGAGTTGACAAGGTGGAGAGGAGGGAAGTCACAAGAAAATGACTTGTATTCCTTAAGAAAAATACAAGGTGTTCTATGAATGAGTTAGCAAGCCCCTGTGGTCAGTTGGCAGAGGGGAGGCCATTTGCGCAGTATCCAGAAGATAGCTATTATCACTGTAGTAGCTCCCTGACAACTACTTATAGCAGAACCTCACTCAAAATGGGAAGTTCCACTTGTTTGCATCCCCCCCCCTCCACTACTACATTTGGCACTTTTTTTAAGGAAGGGAGTAGTGGGTACCTGTTTTGACAGGTACCCATTCCCACCTCTGGTCAGATTGCCGCTACAACGTTTGACCCCTCCTGCTTCCCCATGCAGCCTTCTAGGACACATCACAGACTGCGGGACCTTTCACAAAGCGCAGCACAGCTCACGCCTGTGCAGTAGGAAGCTGGCTGTGAAGCCAGAAGACTTCACTGCCCATTTCCCTTACTTAAGATGCCAGGCTCCTGCACCCGAAGCTGATTGAAGAATTAGTTTGGGTGAGGACATCACTGGATCCCTGCACAGGTAAGTATCTTTATAGTAAAACAACAAAAGAGAAAAGTTTCCAGCTCAACTTGCCAGCCAGCTTGCAAACAAACCGAATTAACTTCTCTAACAGTATAAGTTAAAAACAGGGGTTTAGTTAGCACGCATTTGCAAATACATACAGAAGCTACAGAGCCAGGTCATGGCACCCTGATATTCTGTAGTCCTAACTCTACAAATTTAAATTTAACCCGTTTGGGGTTAGTTCTTATAGCTGTTTTAAAAATACACTTGAATTACTCTCTGTTTATGTCTTAATTAATTATGTTTATGTTTCCTTTGTTGGTTTTCTGTTGGGAAAGAGGTAATAGTGTGCAGTCCCATGTTTCCTGACAAATCAGTTCACTGACCAATGTGTTCTGTGGTTTTAAATGTATAATATAGTAAAAGACAAAAGCCACGTACCAAAATACAAAAGCACATTTTTATGATGCTTCTGGACATATTTGTGTTATGTTTTTGTTTTTTGTTTTTTGCTAAGCTTACATAGCCAATTTATAATAGCTAGCTTCTCACAGTATTTTTATTAGATGTGACTTTTCCTATTTTATGGATTTGCTATTCATGTTGACCTTTCTTTCCATTATTATAAATTGCAGCTGACTATAACTTCCTGTCCATAATACACTTTATTTTATGTCTCACTTTCTATACAAAAAAGAACTAAACATAAATATAGAACATAAATATAGTCAAAATATATACAGTACATGTATAGTATATACTGTATTAACAATAGATCAACCCAACAGCTGCATCTCCTATGTTTGTGGAAACTTAGAGGAACATTTTCTATATTTGCCTTGTTTGTAAAGTTTCTGTTTATTTTGTCAATGCATATTTCTACAGATTTGACAAAAGAAATTAATCATCTCTTTCAAATTATACAGCCTTTAAACAGAAAGACAAGGTCATCACAGTCCCTATATTTTACATCAATATATTCTTTACTTATTTGTTTGCGGCCTGTGAATCACTCAACAGACACGACAAAATGCAATCTCTGCAGCTGACATTATTTATTGTTTAGTCCATATTGTTCCAGCACTACAAATATGCAGAAAAGCTAGGACATACAATATTAAAGAAAAATTCATTGTTTATCATAATGGCGCTGATTTCTGGATAATAACACTGTTTAAAGCAAGCAAAGAAGGATTTGGAAAATGGCCAACATGTCATGGAATGAACAAATCATTAATTAAGGATAGCTTGTGGTGGAAAAGGGCCCATTTAAACTTGAAGAAAACCAGTTATGGCTGGTTCATTCAAGAACTTCAGTTTTGATTATTAATAGGGGCAGTCCTACTAATGTGAGAATAGAGATCCCCCGAAAGTAAGCTAGCCATAGATAAATCAAAATTCGGCAGGTTCAGCAGGGATCGTATATGTACTTTGATCCATCTATGGCCCTTTTTTCAGGAAAGAAGTCGATCTAACAATTGATTTCTGTTAAATGGGACTATTGAAAAACTTTCATTCCATCAGCATCCACAGCCAATTGGCTGCAGAGCTGGTCAGTGGATGTTGGCAAAGGAGGAGTGTCTGCCATCAGAATACAATAGCACAGCGGGAGTGATCCTCCATCCACCTTGCTTGTGTGGATGAGGGAATCAGTCCATTTTTTTTCCATCATCCCACTAGCTGATTGAGAAAAAAAACTAAATCATCCAACCAAAGTCATTTAGTT